TTTTTTTCAGATTTCAAAACAATACCATTCGTTCTTACTGGTGGTGATGTCAGAGAATGAGAGGGAGGAAAAGAGAGAAGTAGGAAAGGGCAGAGGGAATTGAAACCATACTAGGAAGGAAACATTCAGGAAGAAAAGCTCCTGCGTGGGAGACACAGTGTGAGAGTGAATTGCTTGGGCTATTCCTTCACAAGAGAGCCCAAACTTGCTTTTGCAAGTCTGAGATTCCTTGTTTATCCTGTACAAACAATGTAGTTAGGTCTTTACTACAGAAGTAATATCACTTGCCTATGAATTACAGAGATACCTTGTACATATTCTGGCAGACCGCTTTTAATTATTGATTAAATGTGTGATTATTACTATGTAGGCCTAGGTGGTTAAGGCATTGAGATAAAATGTTGGCTACAGCATTTCATAGCCAATGATTTTATGAAGATACTAGAGGCCTGGTACACGAATTCGTGCACGGGTGGGGTCCCTTGGCCTGGCTGCCAATTGCGGCTCGCCAGCCAGGGGGAGGGACCGTGGGAGGTTGGCCAGCCATGGGAGGTTGGCTGTGGGAGCGCACTGACCACCAGGGGGCCTCTCCTGCATTGAGCATCTTCCCCCTGGTGGTCAGTCAGCGTCACAGCAACTGGTCATTCGGTCGACCGGTTGTAATGGTCGCTTAGGCTTTTATATATATAGATACTATCCGCTGCCTGATTGCAAACTCATTGGTGACAATAGGGTTCCTTTTTTTTTTTAATGCTCACCCAAGGGTATTTTTTTCATTGCTTTTTAGAGAGAGTGGAAGGGAGAGAGGAAGGGGGAGGAGAGAGAGAGAGAGAGAGAGAAACATCAATGTGAGAGAGACACATCAACTGGTTGTCTCCTGAATGGTCCCTGCAACTTAGATATGTGCCCTTAACTGGGAATCAAACCTGAGACCATTTGGTGGAGCCAACCCTCTCACCACTGAGCCATGGCGGCCAGGGCAGGTCCCTCTTGATTCCAGTGCATCAAAGCTGTTAGATATGTGTGGGAGGACCTGGAGTTTGTACATCAGGATAAGGATAAAGTCAAGAATAAAAAAGCCAACAAGCCATGCGCAGAAACAGAATTTCAGAGGCCGAGGCAGCAGAGACTGAGCCAAAGGTAAAGGCAAGGGCCAAAATTTTCCTCTAAAACAGCCGTGGGCAAACTACGGCCCAGGGGCCGGATCCGGCCAGTTTGAAATGAATAAAACTAAAAAAAAAAAGACCATACCCTTTTATGTAATGATGTTTACTTTGAATTTATATTAGTTCACACAAACACTCCATCCATGCTTTTGTTCCGGCCCTCCGGTCCAGTTTAAGAACCCATTGTGGCCCTCGAGTCAAAAAGTTTGCCCACCCCTGCTCTAAAAGGTTGTAAATCAATTAGTACAAAGTACTAATCAATTAGTACAAAACATTCTTCTAATTTTTAAGGTCCATGCCCCATCCTAGAGTTGATTCTCCAGAAATTGAGAAATTGTGCCTTGAAGAAGATGGGGCTTGCTGCTGACCATCTCATAGAAATATCTCTTATATATGGTAAATAACATTTTACATTCTGTGCCTTAAAATAGTTTTAAATATATTTTTATTGATTTCAGAAAGGAAGGGAGAGGGAGAGAGAGAAACAACAATGATGAGAGAGAATCATTGACCAGCTGCCTCCTGCATGCCCCATATTGGGGATCAAGACCTCAACCCAGGCATGTGCCCTGACTGGGAATTGAACTGTGACTTCCTGGTTCATAGGTCAATGCTCAACTACTGAGCCACGCCAGCTAGGCTGTGCCTTAAAATTTTAAATATGATTTATAGCTCTATCAATTCTTCAACCAAAGGAGCCAAACTAAATTAATTTCGTTTTATTGATTTAATTATTTCAATGATCCTCAATAGAAAAACAACCCATGTATGTGCTTATTAGACTAATTTAAATTACCTGAAAAGATATATTAAAAATACATTTTAGAAGACGAGGTTTACCAAAAACCATTCTGGTAAATTAACAGTGAATCGTCCTTTGAAAATGATGACTATCTGTGACTTCCTGGTGGCTCAGTGGATAGAGCATTGGCCTGCGGACTGAAAGGTCCCAGGTTCGATTCTGGTCAAGGGCATGTACCTTGGTTGCGGGCATATCCCCAGTGGGAGGTGTGCAGGAGGCAGCTGATCGATGTTTCTCTCTCATCGATGTTTCTAACTCTCTGTCCCTCTCCCTTCCTCTCTGTAAAAAATCAATAAAATATATTTTAAAAAAATAATAAAAATGATGACTATATATTGTTACTAGCCATTAACTTTTATAATAATCAATAACATAAATTTACAAATAAAAAATACTCATAAAATTGATTACTTCCCATGGGTTTAAGATATTTCTTGCATAGAACCTAGGATTGGTTATATATGGCATATTTTTCTTTTCTCAGCCTAATTAAAATATTTTATATAGTAAAAACATCATAAATAATGTTTACTACATATTACCCAATATAGTTCAGTGTATGAAAAATAACATAGTCAATAATGCAAATATTTTTATAAGCTACAATTTGGTATAGACAGTTACTCAGTTTCTACAGTAATTCATTTAACTGGAACCTTTTAGAAAATGCTGCTGGATTGATCTAAGAATTTATTAGGGGCGAATCTGGTTGATTTCATGATATACAATTGAAAATTCCTTGGGATATATTAACAACTTTACTTACTCCCCACTTTTACTATTAACTTCAAATAAATTATTAAAAATAAAGTTTATCAAACATGATGATAATCTATTTGTTGTCATGAAAGTGCTTCTCTGGCCTAAGGGTGATTCTGAATTTCACATTATTTGTATCTTTAATCTTGCATATAGCAATAATTTCTAAGTCCAATGTCATTTTCTGGTTATTCTAAACTAAACAGTTTAAGACAACATAATGGTACTCTCATTCATGTATGTTTACTAGCCTTAGAGTTGCAAGATGTGTAAAGTGTGTATAAAGAATCAGACTGTGTGAAAATGAGAAAAATGTTTTGTGGGGCTTTTAGTACATTGATACACCCTTTGTGACAGCAATATCAAAATGGAGCAAACATACAGAAGTTCATACTATTAACCCAGTGATCTCACTCAAGAAAAAATTGAATTGATGAGGAGTGGGATGCATGAGGATATTCTCAGTGGTATTCTACAATATGATAAATAATGGAAAACTATCTCAGCGGTTAACAAGGGAGGAAGTAGTGATTAATGTGATAACATCTACATAAAATGTATGACACAACCTTTAAAAATAAGACTAGGCAGCATGGAAAAGCTTATGATATAATGTTAATGGTTTCCTCAATGTAATGACAATAACATAAAACATATATTCATGAATACAATGATCAAATAGTCATATACAAAATGAAAATAGTTATTGTTCATCTTTATTATTAATTCTTAATCATACTGAGATGACACCTTTAAAATTAAAATACTAGGCTTACTCATTAATTATATAATTTCTTTTCTAAGTCCTAGTAGACAGTGCTACTCAACCTATGTGGAACACTGAAAAGACTTGTGGGGTTTTATTCAAGTTAAGTGTCCTAATGGATCCTTACCACGTTGGTAATTCACAGATACTTCAAGGTACCTCCCAGTGGGGTCTAAAACAATAGGAAATGAGCTGTGGATGTAGAAACACCCAAGGAGTTGTTGCCTTTTTTTTTTAGATGTACATTTTGACTTTCAGGCTCTTCCAACTCATTGTCACTATCGGTTTCCTCAAACATTCTTAGAATGTTGAACATGTGCTGTAAATTTCCACACATCTTTTCATCCCAATCAGTAGGCTGCTTCATGAATCAGATAAGGAAAGTATTAGAGATCCAAAGGCTGAGGTTTCCAAAAAGCAATTAAGGTAAAATTGAAGTAAATTAAGTAGGAGTAAATTAATTAAATTAAGAAGTAAATTGAAGAAAGAAAGAAAAAAAAAAGCTGTGGCAAAGGTGGGAAACTCAAAGGCTACAGCAGGGACCAGACGATAACAGAAACGAGTGTAGCAGGCTGGGTACAAGTGATAGGGGGGAAAGGGGTGGTGGCCACTGCAAAGCTGGCCCTGTTTAAAAGCAGCAACCAGTCCACAGTCCTAACAGGTTGCTGACATGCATGAAGCAGACCCAGGGCTGCCAGATATTCAGAATCGTTCAAGGGAGACCAGAAATGTAGATGCCCACGTGAAATATCTGTGTTTCTGTTGACAACTAACTTAACTAGTTTTAATTTTTCATTCCCTGAAGAGCCAAATAATGGATGCCCTTGGGCTTGTTTTGTTCCATGGGCTTCCTTGTGTGCCCCCTCTGTTATCTTTATTTGCCGGAAGTCACGTTTTCAATCGAGGCCCTTCACAGGCCAAAGAAAAAGAAAAATGCAAAATGGTGAAGCTGTAGTAACTGGTGAGCATATGGGCTCGCAAACTGCAAGAACATGACAGTAAGACTTGAATGTTCCTGAGGAGCAAAACCTCGGAGGATTTTACTTTTATTTGTCTGTAATGATTGAGGAAACATTCTGAGTCACTACAAAAAGGAAATTAGCCCCAACGGCTTTTTGTTAAAAATGATCAGAACGAAACGACAAGTTTTGACCAAGATGGAATTGCTAGGAGCTACCAAATGGCAAAGAGGATGCAGGTGTGTGTCCTGCGTGGCACCAGCCTGTGGCAAGTTTCCGGTTACCTATCCTATTCCCTCCAACTCTCATTTTCCATCCTCAGCGGCTAAAAGGAAGTCCCTGGAGACTCCTCAGGACGGGTGGTCTGGCCGAGGAAAGGAGGACCCAGGAGGCTGCGTGTAAAGGTGTTCTCAGTGGAGAGGTAGGAATTTCCCCGTCATCAAAGTGAGGCTCAGCGGATGGGTGGGCAGGAGTGGCTGGAAGGGAGGGGAGAGCTGTCTACTCAACTCATCATTTGCGTCACATGCACTCAAGGAAAAAATGTTTACCTGGTGGAGCCACCGTTAACCTTTTTTCCTTGCTGAGCCGGTGCCCTTGGATGAATTCACTCATGGAAGGGGGGCCCTTCAGAAGAAATGACTCTGTGGAGGTGGGGTCAGGGGGAACTCTTAATAAAGTCTGTAGGTAGGAAGCCCCTGAAGTCCTGGGACGGCTCTGATCACAAAGGGAAGGTGAAAATTGTCTTGCAGGAGATCCAAGAAAATACATATAGGAAACAAAAAAGTTTTACTTTAATTACCTTTCAAAGCCTCACCGGTGACAACATTACTTATATTGGCATTTAATTTTTTTAACATGTAAATCAAGATTTTTTTTTTTTTTGCTAATTGCTTCGTTTCCACACCAGGATACAACCCCATTTAGAAACTGTATTGGAAACTGCGAAAGAGATTTATTATAGTAGGTTTGAACCACAAATAAGAAAATATGGATATAATTTGATTTCTTACTGAAAGCTTCTAAAATAAAAATCTTACTATTAACTGAAAATAGAGGGTAAGTAATTCAACATCCAGGACTCTGGGGAAAAGGTCAGAAAAGCCACCGACAACCTTACAGGTGATTTCTTGGAGCAATATCCACATACCAAATGAAAATGCACCAAAACCTGCTTTAAAGAAAAGGACTATACACATTCCATCCCACTTTACCTAAATGTAGACATCTCCTTTAGTCAGCCATCAGTTTTGGTAACACAAACAAAAGTTCCCTCAGAGAACATATCCATATCCTTGCCCCATTAAAGAGAAGCTGCTAAAAGCACCATTACCAGAGGTACAATGATTTTTAAAATGACCATCCATGTAAAATACAGCATCCTTCTTAATATCCATCTTTTATCTACTAATTTTTAGGCTGGAGGTAAGGGAGAGGTATATTTGTGCATATAAGGAACAGCAAAAATGTTGACAGACACAAAAGTTATTTTACGGTTAATTAAGAGGTGGGGTGTGAGGGACAGAAATGAGTAAATAAATATAATTATCAAACGTTTTTGATTTTTTAAAAAAACCAACATTAGCAAGGCCCATTTATACACCCACTCCCAGTTTTTCTCTTCCTTCCCTTCCTCCATCCTCCACAATAAGAACACATCAATTTTTGCAGTTAACTAACATCTGGCCACTGCACCACACTATGAAGATTGCTGCATGCATACCTTTTCCTCTGAGTGCCACTGCTGCCCCGAATGATGGGTGTCTGTGGGCCCTGACTATGCAGGAGGTAAGTGTCTATGGTGGGCACGATGCCTGAGGCCTCCCCACTTACTTTAGGGCTGCCGATCTTGCTCTTTCCAAATTTGCCTTTGCTGCGTCTCGACTGCTCATGGTCAAATTCTAAGTCCTCCAGCCGCTGGGTCAGGGCGAGTTTTTGCTGGATAGCCATTCGTAACAAAGTATTTAGAGTCTTCTTCTCGTCCTCTGCGGCTGCTAACTGTCTCTGCATCTCATCCAACTGTGTGACATACTCATCACATCTGGAACCAAAACAGAAACGTGGTCAGGAGAAAAACCTGGGCGAAACTGAAGTCGGATTTCAATGAAAAAGGAATGGATTTTACTGGAACACGCTGGTCTTCTTAAATTAGAAACAGTAGAGCAGGCTCCATAATTGATGGTTCACCTACACCATGGAGTACATATGGGGACCCTTGTGCACTGCTGGTGGGAATGCAGACTGGTGCAGCCACTGTGGAGAACAGTATGGAGTTTCCTCAAAAAACTAAAAATGGAACTCCCATTTGACCCAGTGATCCCACT